AATTATATCCTATTTACAATATATGTATATATTATATACCTATTCATTATGAATATATTTTACAATTAGTTTAATAAGAACTACTGTTTACGATAACATATAAGTAGGTTGTGTTTTAATGGAGTGTAAAGGGGAACGAAATAGTCTGTCTTAGTTTTAAAATAAATATTTTTAATTTTTATTTAACGTCTTACAGAGAGTGACTTTCATAATAATAATAATAATGACAAGACAGAAAAACAAATCTCTTAACTGTTTCAAAAAATACAGTAATTGATTCTGAATAAATTTTAATTCAGTATTTCAAATGTTGAAGCAATTTTTACTTTTTGAATGCCACTCAACAATTCTCAGAATATTTAGGATTTACATATCTAGAGGCGGATTTATATTATATTAAAAACAAATACCTATATCAAGCCTGCATTAACACGTGGCAAATTAATTTTATTTATTTCTAGTAAACAAAATACGTCTCTTTCGCTATGTCATTGTTTACTATTGGGATAAGTATATCCTCTAGTCGAGATTATTTTTTTATAATCAACTATTCATACGATTTTGTAGGATTATATCGAAACTAACTATAGTATGGTTCTAAGCGAATTATGAATTTATTCTATATTGTATTGAGAAAAAAAATGTCTGTTTTATTGGTACATATTGTTCCTAATAATACTGATGATTGTTTTATTATATTAAATTTATCTTTGAAGAAAACAGCAAGTTCCCTCTTTGAAATCATTTTTTTATTTGTGTATTTTGCTAAATGCCAAAAAAATTAAAAAAATAATTTAATAAACCCTTACGTCAACGGTTATTTCTATGAAACTCTTTTTTCCCCAACTAAAAATCAAAAACAGATCACTAAATCAGAATTTGTTAGCATATCGAAAATCTATTTGGTTTTATTTTCAGAACTAGAAATGAGGGTTCTTTTTCAAATAGGTTTCACTGGTTAAATTTTGTTTATTTGCTTCCATAGCAAGAACTTTTATTCTACTATCAATTCCTTCTTTTTTGGTAATTGTAGCAAACAAGGTATGTTCCAAAGTAAACAGGATTTTCCAAAAATAGGTATTTCTCGTTTGGAGAAGACAAAAGCGAAGACAACGTTGATTTGCTTTTACGATTCCAGGAGCATTGTCCACAAAGAGATTGCTTCATCGGACCAAACCGTTTGCACAATTCTATCTTGGGGATTTGAAGCCTTTGGTTCATCGTAATTGTCATATTTTGCCACAATATAGGAAAATATCGTTTGCAGATGAAATTTTTTTATATCCCAAATTGCCCCTTTTCTACGTAATCTTTGTGTTCTTCTATTCTAATTTCTACAGCTGAAGATCTCTCTCTAACATTTTTAAAAACTGTGTCGACAAAATTTCCAAAATATTAAGCTTGCGTTTGGTGCATTAATTGCTTGTATTAATAACTATTCTACACCTACTTGTATATTATCCAATTTCTGAAAATTTCTAATAAAAAATTAATAAAGATGAAACGGGATAAGTAATATTGAAATAAATATTACCAGTCGCACATATCAGGAATGTTTTGGTGAGGAAAAGCAGAAAAATTGCTCAAACAAATGTATTCGAGAGCTGTAATTGTTTGTTTTAATTAAACAAGGTATATTGACCCTTACTATAAGAAGAATAAATATTGCATCAGCCATTTCATAGTACTCTCAGATTTAAGTTTGTAGTATTAGTAGAATCATTCATAATGGAATCTGAAAAGATGATGCAATACAGAAAAGCTTCATTCACATGTCGTAGGTATTTGTAAGGACGCTTGTAATAAATAATTTTAATTTTTATTTAATAATAATGTCAGTTAATAGTTAATTTTTCTTCACTAGGCATTGATAACATCCCCTGGATTTTTAAAGTGGAAAAGTAAAGTATTTTGCATTACAATTGATGAAATTTGAGTTTTAGGATTAATTCTGATTAAAGCTACTTGGCCAGATATTCAATATAAAAATCCTTTAAGTAAACTTTTGAAAAAGTCACTCCAGTAAATTTATCTAGAAGGTTATAAGGTTGCTATAAACAAAAAAGTTATTAGAATCGTGCATATAATGTAGTATAACAACCCCGGGTTCGATCGAAAAAAATATATAAACGTAGTTGTGGCCAAAAATATGTGATAGTCATAAGGAATACCTACGTTGTATACATCTATTTTTCATTCTATGAAAGTGCCAGGGTCACCTAGAGCTCCTGTGGCAAAGCATGGCAGAGAAACCCACGATCGCTGCTCTAACTACCCAAATATAAATACAAAACAACCGCTAACAAATGGCATAAATTAAGATCCTTTGCTAATGATAAATAACACCCTACTTATTTAATGTGTCACTAAATGTCACCTCACTCAAATCAGACGTACACACTTCCAAGTAAAACTGAAGAGGTTTGGTGTTAGTTAGCCGGCAGGGCCGGAAGGTACTGGAGTCCCATACGGGAGGTAATCCAGCTATAGTTGAGATTTCGGAAGACCTGCTTTAGCAATTCTTTTTTTTTTGTATTTAATTATTCTTTTTTTTCAGATTCGTTCCTCACGGGAGAAAATGTTAGTGAATTCAACAAGGCCCTTAAATGCGTCTTGACATAAAGTGAGCACAAGAAATCAAAGAACAACGTAATCATGACAAAACAAGTTAAATGTGAAACAAAGGAGTTGTTATTGCAATATCTGGGCAGTCACGACAATATATACATATTTTAACATGTTATAAATAATGAGCAATCGTTAATAATAATTGTAACAATTTCATCTTTGAAAAATATATGCTCTTGAGCATAAAGCAATGGCGGCTAAACATACAAAGAATTATTATTATTAAACATCTATAACCATCACACTCATAAAATTACATAGAACAATTAACAACAAAGTACTTAAAGGATATTATCTGCTAATTAATAGTTTTTCACCGTGCACCGATCGTCTTACTTTTCACTCTTCGCTGTTCTAACTTCAACTGTTTAGGCTTCCCTCCAGAATTCCCCACCTATAAGCGCTTGTTTTTGCGCTTCCTTCTACCAACTGTCAATATTACGTTTTCATTATTATACAACACCCACGTAACAGGTGACGTCGAAGTTGATACGATAAGTATGGTTTTGCACAATAAAAAAAATTAGATTGGTGTCCTAGTTCATAATAAGCTTCACTGAATATAATCTCAAAACAGAGAAAGTCTCCTTGAATCTTAAGGTTGAAAACGACAATAAAAATTAATCTATAAACAAAATGTATTTTTTGACTGTCAAGATTTTAAATTTCGACGAATGTGATTCTAAATAAGATATTGAATAACCATTTTTCTATAAATCTTATGTTTGGAACTCAATCTTTATCATAAGATATGAGTGATATTTTGCTAATTTTACCCTGAATAAAGAAAATATTAAATGACACGATACTTATGAGTAATAATCAAATAAGGTACTTTAGGTATAATATAGACTAGAACAAATGAATGAAAAAAAACAATATTAATTAGCATCAAAGCGTACAACATGACTAAAGCCTCTACATTATTTTCGAAAACATTTTAGTATTACAATAATTAGTTTTGCGAATAATATATATTATTTAAATGCATATAAATACCTTCAAGCTGCTTGACTTTTATAAAAATATCTGCTTGACTTATCTGAAGCTTAAAATCAAACATTTTTAAAAATTCACTCTTTGTTTTTTACCATTAGTTTTGATGCAACTGTAACTAAACAGTTCATTTTCTACAATGATACAAAAATCAGTCCTTAAAATGCAGAAATATGTTAAACAATAAATCGTAGCAACATTCGCGTAGATATTTGTGCAATGTTGTAGCTATTAGAAACAAGAATCTGAGATAACTTCTTGGAAGGTTTGTAGCATCATTTAATGATTTTAATACGTTTGGTAGCTGTTTCTTCATTAGCATTGCCCGAATAAATTATATCGAAGACTATAAAATATTTTGCACTTATTTACAAACACCCCGTATAACACAGTGGCTAGAACCTTTTACATACTAGTCTTTAACAAAGGATTAATTTTTCTTAATAGTTATCGGAAATTTTTTTTTTTTTGACGCCCATGTATTTCGGAAATTTTTGATATTCAGCAAAACTATTTTTTTGTGAATCCAACTTGAAATATTTTGACAGAAAAACAAATTTCAAATAAAATCTAACACCCAAGAAACTACATACGTTATATATTAATTTAAAAAAACTAATGTGTATATAATATCTTTGTGGAAAAAATTTTAAATCCATACCAAACTTCAGTTATTATTAAATATTATAAATCGCTCCAATCGTTTATTTGTAATTTAAAAAAAAACGTGTCTTTCTAATTGTAGCAAACATTTGTTAACTTTTTCGGTGAAGCGACAATTGAAGGTGATTTTTAAAACTTGAATTTTCAACTAATTTATTATTTATGTATTTATTTATTTGTTAACTTGGAGACAAAGCTTTAACGAAATTTGAAAAATAAGTACAATTTTTTAATAACTTATTGTGTGAAGATATATTTTGTGGTATAGTTTTCGTTTTCTTTTCCTTATTTATTGGTTATTTTGCTATAAAAAAAATAAAATTGAAATGAATGTGTGATTTTTGGTCAGGTAAAATTATTTTCCCAAAAATAACCCTTGATTGACCCCTTTGGCGCAAGGGTTTATTTCATTAATTAATAAATAATATAAATATGATTCCTCCAGAAAAAAGGAATAATTTGCTTAAACCAAAGTAAACGTCGTTAACTACTTTTTTTTGCAATACCGAGAACGAAATAAAAATACCATTTCAGTAAACAGAGGCAATGATCATTTTCTCAACGTCAAAAAATCCAGTTTTGCAGGCACAAGTCTGCATAAATTCCATGTCCAAGGATACTGTAACAGGTATCTCCCTCTCAACTATCACAAACATATTTCCATTCCTTTAAAACTGACTAATTTACATTGGAATTAATAAAAGTTGTTGTTTATCACAAAGCTTATATAAAGGCAACGTCGCAGTTCCGTATCAGTAATTTCAGCATAAATTTTGCGAATGGTGGTGTCCTGTGAGCATGGTGAGTGACCATTGTACAAAAAATTTTAATTTAATATTCATAATACGAGATTTATTTCTGAATTTACTTAGTTTAATAGAGCGTTCTTGCAAAGAAATTCGAATAAAAAAAATCCGCCGCAAACTTGCTGAAGGAGGCTGAAAATTAATTTAACGTTAAGGGTAGGTTGTGCTGAGCTGAAATAAAGCTTTTCACGACATTTCGGCTGATGCAATGTGTTCGCGTATATTGCATCATCTTGCCTCATGTCGAACCTATCCAGTGTACCAGTGTAGCTTCTCAAACGGCAAATATTGGCTTATATTAAAATAAATATAATTACAAATGTTTTCCAGGGGTTTAATAATGTATAAGGGGCGTCGATTTTCGTATTAAATTTATTTGAATGCGTGTGGGCACTCCTCAATATCACATATGTTATTAATTTAATTATTTATGTGTGTAAACTACGCAGTTTTGTGTATTGGAATGTATAATCGATGCATTTTAAAGACATATTAATTTTGTTAATTTAAACAAAGAAAATAGATTCTTTTATACGGGTATCTTTTGTTTCTTTTTTTACCATCTCTTATATTTTTTTAAATGACAAAGTATAATGTTTAATGTTTTAACATAAATTTTGTAATTACCTAATTTGTTACTAATATACATTATAGCTTATTTTTCTACTTATATCTACTATGTGTTGTCCATTTTATACCTTTTGATGCTCGCGCAACTATGAAATAAATCGGTAAAAATTTATTCCTGAATAAAATTACGCATGAATGATTAATAAAAATGTAATACCTACGTTTTACATTTTATATTTTAAGCCTACGGAATGTTGCAATATTCCACACATAAAATTATACAAAAGTGATTACATTCCATACGATATTCGTTGGGACAGAATTTAAGGAAAACATTTTTCTTTGCTGCGTTGTTTTGAACTTGAGCCCATATCATTTCAATGGTGTGAAAAAGTTTATTATTTTTTAGTTATTCTCATTTATTTTCACGTTTTCAACACCTTTGCGGACCTATTATATTCGACACAGGGTGATACTTTTTTGAAGACACTACCCCGAAAGTTCATTTTTTTAATTTTAACCAATGATTTTTTTACCCTGTGAATTTTTTTCATTCTTGTATGCTTAGATGATACAACACAATACAATTTTGTAATACCTACTCTTGTAAGTCTATCTTCTGAATGAAGTAATTACGAAGTATTCTAATTATGTCCCTAACAGTAATAGTCCAGACGGTATCTGTTTCGAAGAGTCCATATTTAGATTAATCGTTTTTTTGGCTTTTTGGCTTTAAAATATCACTAAAAGTGAAAATTTTTCTATGCGCATAAAAAAAAACGTGGGCTTAACTTTTGCCGGCACAATATGTTAAAAAAATTCGAAAAATGTCATATTTTTCTTCCTATTTAATTATGTATCTTTTCAAGAGTTGATTTTAGGCGAAAATGGAAAAGGGGACAAATTTTTGCCTAAAATCAACTC